GTTTTGAGTGTACATAATATTGTATAGTGTACATTCAGTACAAAAATAATGTACATTTAGTATATTAAAAATGTACATTTTATTATGGTTCACATAACATTGTGTGGACCATGGTCCATGCAATAATTTGTCATGTATGGGAGTCTATTTAATTATACAAGTGGGTTTAGAGCCCTAAAATAAAATAAATTCTTAGTCTTCATATTATGAATCTTTGTTACACTAGAAATAGGAAGCCCAATCATTATTATATTATGAACACTAAGTTCAATTTTTATTCCATTATGAATAGTAAGCTCAATCCTATTAAACTCCTAAGTTGTTTCGTATTGGTTATCATTCTTGGGCTCTCTCGACCCAATTACTTCTTGGGCTTGATATCCACGAGGTTGGGTCTTGAGATCATTGGCCCGACAAGTAGTCCAAAGGATCAACCTCTTAATATACCACCCATCACTCTCAAATAAGACGTGTAATATTATTTAACTGAAATTTAATATTTATATATAAATAAATAAATAAATATATATATATATATATATATATATATATATATATATATATATATAAATTACATTTTAACTAAAAACATAATTGATACCACATAAGACTGTCTCACCTCATACTCTATCAAAAATTGAAAGGATTAATATTTGATGTACTGTCGGTGTATAGATGCTATACTCCGGCGGTGAAAGAGAATATGCCACATCATTAGAAAATAAAGTCAATATTAACCGGGTCTTTTTTTGCAAAAATATCTAAGACTTGTTTTTTATTAGGTAAGTCTTTTATTTCTAATTAACAAAATATATCTACTTTTCCAAACATATTTATTACTTAATTATTATATATCTAATTATTAACAATTTTACACTTGCAAGTTCAATTCTACGACAGTGACAATGAAACCTGTATCATCCTTATGATTAATAATAACTAGTTTTTTACGCGCATTGCGCGATTGAGATAATGACCAATGTTTTTTTTAAATAAGTACTTTAAAGTATATCAATGCAAGATTATATTGGAATTGTTAATGCATAGATAACTGAATGTTAAATTTGCGTATTTAAATAGGCAATTCTAAGTTTACAAATGCAAGATAATATAGTCAAGATTGATTATAATTGTCAATAAAATAATTGTATAGGTAGGGTTAAAACCAAATACAGGACATAAGGGAGAGCAAATAAAAATTAGGGCATAAAATATTAAATATATACTAATATTGAAGAGGTCACTGCTGATTGCTAGACAAGAACATTGCGAGATAGTTTCTCACTTCAATTTTTTGTGTGATTAGAATACTCTTTTTGTCAATAAATCCCCCAAGTAGTTAATATGATTGGCTTAATTATATTTTTTATTTATTTTTATTTTTTAAAACAATTATTATTATTATTATTATTATTATTATTATTATTATTATTATTATTATTATTATTATTATTATTATTATTATTATTATTATTATTATTATTATTATTATTATTATTATTATTATTATTATTATTATTATTATGTATACCCTTAGGTCATTTTACATGTTAATCTAAACAACTAATTTTTTTAAAATATCTTTTTACCAACCGTTGATATAATTCGCTGGTCAAATTCGCTAATATAATCCGCTAACGCTAACCGCTGATTGTCAAACAAGAACATTGCTAGGTAGTTCTCACTTCAATTTGTTGTGTGATTTGAATACTCTCTTTGTAAATACTAAAGTATTATTTAATTTAATATAAGAGTAAAATAGAGTACTAATTATGCCAACTTTGATTGGGATGAGATTTGATCCTAAGACCTTTCTTATTGAAATCAATGAGTAAGTTAACGGTGAACTAACAAAAATTAACGGAAAAGATAATATTTAACGGAAAAGTTAACGGACAATCATATTCATTAAGGATAAATTAGGAAATCTTAAGGAAAAATTAAAATCTGATCAATCTTAGCCATTCATTATTTGATTAAAAAATTCGACCGCCATTTTTTCTACCTATTATAGGTCTAACTCTCTTGGGCTCTTATTCGTATAGTAGATAAGATAGTAGAAGTAGATATAGTAGATATTGTTAACATGTTCTTTACTTAAAATTAAGAATTCTAATTGAATTAAAATTATTTAATTTTAATTAACAAAAATCATCTAATTCTTATATTATCTAAACTCCTAAATCTATTTAAACCCCTAAATTTAAATTACAACCTTCCTCACTATTACAAACAATTGCAACAGTACATCTAGTAAGAATATATATTCAATAATGTAAAAAAATCAACACTTAATCAAATATTATATAATAGTCAAATTATATCTTAAAACTTATTAAAAAGTTAAAATGTAATATTCAACACAACAGTATCCAATAATGTAAGAAATCAAATTTGTAAACTAGGATGATGAAACATAAAACGAGCCACAAATTTGGTAAGGAGCCACAAATTATTTCTAATAATGACTAAGGTTGTAATTTAAATTTAGGAGTTTAGGGATTTAAATAAATATAAGAATTTAGATAGATATAAAAAAATTAGATGATTTTTGTTAATTAAAATTAAAAATTCTTAATTATAAATATAATAATTTAGAAATTCAGTTCAATTAGAATTATAAATTTTAAGTAAAGAACCTTTTAACAATATTTGTCAATCATAAGGAGGATCGTTATACCCTGCACCATGGCGCGCGTAGCACTGTGCGCCCCGCGTCTCGCAAAACGATATCATTTTGGTAAGTTATGTAGAGAGTTGACGTGACTATGTGTATTTATTTATACAATTATGTGTATTAATTTATACAATTATGTACATTTTTTATACAATCATGTACATCTTTTTTTATACAATTATGTACATCCGAAACAATAAATTTATGTGTATTATGTTAATAGTTGATGTTTATTATATTAAAAGTTTATGTATATTATGTATTATGTCAAATTATATGTATTATCTTTTTTTTTTTTTTTTTAAAATGTGTATTTTGCTATACAATTATATACATTCATGTATACAATTATGTGTATTCTAGTATAAAATTATGTACATTTTTGAACATGAAAACCACATATCTCCATCTGTTTCATCTCCACACGGCGTCTCTATTTATCTCCAAGTGGAAACATTATTTTATTTTTTAAAATTTTATTTTAATCAATTAATGGAATGCCATAAACTTATTTCTTTTAATTTCTAATTGAGAGGATCAACTATTTCCTTCTTCTTTTTTTGTCCACATTCTCAAGTTTAAGAAGAAGAGGTTATGTGCCTCTATCACTTTGTCCTCACCTGGAAGTCTCGCCTTGTCCCTAGCAGGGCCGTATTTTAAGTTTTGGTGGCCCTGTTCTAGTAAATAAATGTGGCCCTACCAAAATCATAATTTTTAAAACTAATACATGCAAGTTTCGAACCTTTGACCTCCAAGTTAAAATACAATAAATACACATTCTTACCATCTCTTCATGAAACCTTTAAAGTTTAATTGAAAACTTTTTAATTTTTATTTTTAAACTAGCTAGGTAAAAATTAAATATTGAACCTCTAAAATTTGGGGCCCCTCTAAAATTGGGGGCCCTGTGCGGTAGCCCAGCTTGCACAGCCTAAAATCCGGCCCTGGTCCCTAGTGGAGACATTAATTTATTCATTTTAAAAAATAATTGTAATGACATTAAAATGATATTGAAACTAATGATTTTATCGGATTAGGCGTATCATCAAAGTGATCAAACTAGGTTATTAAGGGTGAAGTTGTAAGAAACATGAATATCAAATAATTTAGACGTTGGCTTAGCTTACATGTGCTCGCTCATTTGATCCACAATGAATATTATTGAAAATGAGTCTTAAATCTAAATCAATAGAAAAACTATTACAATTTCTAGACGAATTAAGTAAATTGTCAAATAGAAGAAAAAGAAGAAGATAATAGATTACGGAATTCAAGTATTCGTTGAAAAGATTATGATGTCTAAATGAGAGTTGAGACTTCTATTTATAGTATTTTTGGAGTCGTCAGACCACCAACGTATCCCCAGAAATTCTTGACCACCAACATATCTCCCCGTCACCAAGTCGCTTTCAACCTCCGAGCCCCCTTCAATTCCCCTTGTTGTCGTCTCGCATCTGGCTGCCTGTCGCCATTAGCAACACCCAAAATGTGCCACTTCTTCACATTTATACTCAAAGAATAGTGATTTTATGAACCTGCAATATTCGTAGTGACTCTATGTATGTAATTGTAGATTTATTTTTTTAAAATACCAATATAAGTGTAATTTTAAAATTTTCAATTGAAAGTTTGTAATGATATTTTTTTACATTAATTTTATTTGTAAAAAAAAAAATTAAGTTGAAAAAAATAGTGAGAAAAATTAGGGACCACTTGGGTTCATGTTACATACTACACGTCATGATATAACTATTATGTTTACTGAAATCTCTTTTGAATTGAAGGGTATTTTTCTAAACCAGTGTCCATAATAACACACAAAATTAATTCTAACTTGAACTAATAGTCAATTGAATTGCAATTATAATTTTCACATTCACGTTAAGCAAGAACTTCAACTTTTTGAGTTCTCAAGAGGTGGCAGTCAAACTGTACTCAAAGAATCACTATCTCATCCACGTCCTTTGAAAATGGTAATTAATGAAAATTAATAAAAAATTTAAGATGCAATGTATGTATAAAATATTAAATCAACAAATAATATAATAAATTTTGAATTTTTCAAACATAATTCAAGTCCGAAAAAGGTCAGGATAAAAATAATTTTAATTTATAATTTTTCAAACATAATTCAAGTCCCAAAAAGATTAGGATAAAAGTTTGTGGCCTTCTACAGAATTACATGTATATATACCTTAGCCGTGCTACAGAATTAATTCACCTACTTGTATAGGCAATTACATATATACTTGGAAGAATTACATATATACTTGATAAGTTAGGAGGAATAAGGAAACCCTAAAGAAGAAAGAAAAAGTCAGTAATGGAGAAGGGTATTGACCTATTTGCATGTAGTTTTGCGGTTGGCTTAGGCTCGGTACGGCCACATAATCCCGACAACTATGATTCCGATTCTGATTCTGATTCTGTTCTCAACAATGAAGAAGTAGCATATCTTTCCGATGATGGTTCTGTTCTTGACAATGAAGAAGTAGTGTATCTTTCCGACGATGGTTCTGTTCTTGACAATGAAGAAGTAACATATCTTTCCAATGATGATTCTATTCTCAGTCATGAAGAAGTAGCATCCAATGATGATTCTGTTATCCACAATGAAGAAGTAATAAATCTTTTGGACAATAATTCTGTTCTCGACAATGAAGAAGTAACATATCTTTCCGACAATGATTCTGTTCTCGCCGATGAATTAGCAAATTTTTCCGACGACGGTGGTGGTTCTGTTCTTGACTATGAAGAAGTAACATATCTTTCTTACGATGCGGAAGCATATCCTACCGAAATTATCTTAGTATCCGGCGAGAATTCCGGAGCAGAGGCAACGAGGGGCGTAGATCAGAACAGGGAGGCGATCAAGTCGTTGGAGAGGAAGATAATAGAGTACGATGAGAGGGATTGTGGCGGAGGAGACGGTGATTGTTGCGTTATTTGCTTGGAGGAGTTAACGGCGGGGACAGTGGTGGCTGTGATGCCTTGTAACCATTGTTCCTTTCACGACGGCTGCCTCTCAACTTGGCTGGAAAGAAGCCTTTGCTGTCCTCTCTGTCGCCGCAAGATTCCCGGCTCGCCGCCGCCGGAGCCTTTCCAAGAGCATGATCAATACATATCCTGATACCATGCGGAATTGGTAAAACATACCCATAGTTTTTTTTTTTTTTTCTTTTTTTTTTTTTTTTCTTTTTAAGGCATACCAATAGTTAAGATTTGTATCATTTTTGTAGTTTTTAAATACTTCTAAAATCAAAGATTTTAATAAACTTTTATTGATTTTCATATCATAAATTTTTTTTTTCTCAAATTGTTGTGAACAACCGCATGCGGTTAACAAAAGGAAAAAAAAATTATTACAAATATAAACATAATAAAGTAAAATCAAAAGTATATATATATATATATATATATATATATATATATATATATATATATATATGAATATTGTGAAACTATAGTAAAATTTTAGGATGGTAAATATAAAATTTTCTTTGTTTGTATATTTAGGGGAGAAAAGTTATTAGAGAAAGTTTAGAAGTTAGGAATGAAGTAAAAAAAGAATAAAAATCAAAAAATAAAAGTTTTATATTTGAAAAGAATAAAAAAGCTTTGATTTGTTGATGTATTTAGCGAGAAAAAGTTGGTAGATAAAGTTTAGAAATTAAGAGAAAAAATTTACGAAAGTTTAGAAGTTAGGAAGAAAATAGTTCATAAAGAAAGTTTAGAAGTATGGAGTCTGAGAGATTGATTTCAGCTATATATATTAGTGAAGAAAAACAATATACTACAAAGAAAAAATAATGAAAAAATAATTTGTAGATTTTTTAGAGGGAGAAAAAACTTGTAAAGTTTAAGATGGAGAAAAAAATTGTAGAGTTTAGCTAGGCATGAAGAAACTGTATGATAACAAAGAAAAAATAATTATTAAATTTAAGTATAATGTTTATAGTTTTAATAGGGAGAAAAAAAACAAATAAAGTTTAGATAGAGAGATGAAACATTCAGAATTGTACAAAGAAAGTTTAGAATTCGTAAAAACAAATAAAGTTTATATCAAGACTATGTGGTCTAATGGTACCCGGGTTGGACTTTCATTTGGAAGGTTACTACAATGTAATAGGGCCAGTAACATTCAAAAAATAATAATAATAATAAAGTTAAGTTCATACAGAAATAGGGTACTGAATTCATTATATCCTAAATTGAATTTAATCCACCAAGCTGATAAGAAAATTAAAAAAAAATACAAGGGAAATAACATGAGACTAAAAATATTAAGCATTTAATATGGCAAGGAATATGCAGACACATTGGCAAGAAATGATCTTGTTGGATAAATTAATTGATCTACAAACTTCATTACAGAATTTCTTGATAAACAATGTTATCAGTCACATTTGTAGTACTTGTATATATCCCTATGAGATGTGAGTTCGGGTGTGGGTGTTTTATGTCGTCCTCAAGGAATTGGGGGTTATGACTGTGACAACAAGTAACTAGGCACTAGCACTAGGAAATATTCAACAAGAAACTAAGCAATAATTCATAACAAGTTTTAAAGTTACGGTAACTAAACAAAGTAATGCAAACTCATATATATTAACAAAGATATAAACATGAAACAAATTAAAGAAATATGAATCAAGTTAGGGAGCAATATCTTATAAATGCATAACGCAACCTAAGGATTGAGAAAAATCACACAACCAAACAATTGAGGGATTCACGTAGGAATTCAAGTCTAGAAACCATTCTCATGATAAATAAATTAAACAAGCTAAAGAATTACCCATTCTGATCTCGTGGTGTATCAATTCAAAGTTCTTCAAGAACACAAAGAATAAAGAGTCCCGAATTTCTCCTATTTTCATAGGAAGAAATCGGGTTTATTCAATGAGTGACTCAGAATCTTGACACATCTCTCATTGTAGCCAAAACTCATCCAAAACATGCTCAAGATCCCTAGGTAGAAAAAAAAAATCCATTTTATGCACTAATCACAAATAAAGCATAAAGATATATAATACAACCCTAATTCAAGCCCATAAACTAACTACTCATAATTAAATTGTATAATTAAAGCAAAAGCACAAGCAATAAATATAAACATTGCAAAAGAAAGAGTTAAGGGAAAGAAAGCTTATCTATAGAAATGAATGATAGAATCTTGAAATCCAAGTGTAAATCCGTTGATACAAGCTTCAAAGATGAATAAGAACCTAAATTTAACCAAAATATGAAAAGAAGTGAAAGAAATCAACTAGAGTTCATCTAGAAATTAGATTCGTGTAAAAATGTGTGGACTGTGGTCCACACACTGAATAACAATTGGGGTCCCATCAATAATAATTATCGATAAATTAATAAGAAAATTGTCTCCATCTGTCTCCCATATCCCATCAATAATAATTATCTGTAAAAATTATCTATAAATTAAAAAGAAAATTGTCTCCATAAACTTTTTTTTCCATTCATCATTACTATCCTCAAGACAATAAATATTATCTGATTAAATTACAACATTATTCTTACCTGTCATTTTGCCAAAATACAAAATTACTATAAACAAATTTAAGAGTGTGCAATCGATTAATCGAACTATTTTAATCAAAAATTTTAAAAGTTTAACTGTTAATCGAATCAAATTTTGTATTATCGAATTTATTAAATCGAATTTTTTTAATTAATCAAAGTTTTTTAAGTTAAAGCTTTAAATCTTTCAAATAATACTTATAATAATAAATTCAATTAAAATAATATATATAATAATAAATTTATACTAAAATATACAAATACAATACTATAACAACATTGCAAACATAAAAGCACAAATTATAAAGTTCAAATATTTATATATATTTGATTATATATATATATATATATATATATATATATATATATATATATATATATATATATATATTTAAAATTCCGTTAACCATTCAGTTAATTCGGTTACGATACATTCAAACTGAATTCACTGTTGACCGAAATTTTACAAATCTTTTAACCATTGATAGAATCAAGAACGATTAACTGAAACTCGCATGGGCAGCTCAACTGGTTATTGAGGTGAAACTTTGGAAGAAGAATGATTAACTGAAATTCTTAAATGTTAACATACTTTCACATTTTTCCAAAAATAAAAAGGCTAAAGTGTCATTGCGCACCATGAACTATAACGGATTCTTCATGCCGCACCATAATCTTTGATAAGTGCTATTTAGGTTCACGAATCATTAAATTATTTTCGCTAGAACTTTTTACAGGTTTCTTTCAAAGTTGTAGGTAATAATATGCTGATGTGAAATTTTTTTTTTATTAACCTGTTTTAAATAATTGTTTAAAGTATGACATGGCAGGTTTGTTTTTTACTAAGACCACTGTTTTTTTTTTTTTTTTGACCACTGTTAATCTGTTATATCGGCAATATAACGAGAAAAAACACAGTTCCGGCGAAAATAGAGGAGACGGTCGCTGCAGCTGCAAATGGATAGCGGCGGTGGCGAGCAAGGACATCGGCGCCAACGGCATTCTCTCTGGCCTCCTCTACCCCGCCGTCTGCAATTCTAGCTCCCCCAGAGAGGCCCTTGGTTGGTCCACCTCGCAAGTGCCCTCCAGTGCTTCCTTGGCTACTTCATACGGCTAGCTGGCCTGGCCGTCCTCGGCACCATCCCGCGCCCGCCTGTGCCGGTTATGTCCCTCTTCATGTTCATCGCCGCTCATGCGCAGACATTTTTCAAACGGCAAATGTTGTTACAGTTACAGAATTTCCCGCAGTATAGCGGCACTGTCGTGAGAATCATGAAGGGCTTTCTTGGCTTGAGTGGAGCAATACTGTGTCTCAGACATTATTCAACAACAACTCAAGCGCATTTATTTTGATGCTTTCATTATTGGCAACTCTAAATACCCTTGTGCTCACGTGCTTGGTGAGAGTACGTCCATCAGACACCTCCTGGCAATGATGAGAGACATTTGAATAAGTTCTTGATTATTTCATTTGTTGCGGCAACATACATCACTATTGCCTCTGGTTTCCCTTTAAATTTATATATATACCTGGATGGGTTCCCTAGTAGTTGACATTTGCTATGGTTCACAATGGTCATTTGATGCGTACAATAACCAAAGAGATATTTGGAGTTCTGCATATGGGTACTATATTCAATATAATCTCCATAGCCAATCTTGTTGGGTTATTTATACTGTTATATCAATTTTGGGTTTTCACTTTTCAAGGAAGAAAAATTAAACATCAATAAATAATTCTAATCTCCACAATTTCCACAAACGATTCCCAATCTCTCATTCCTTGGCTCTCCACCATTTCCTCCATGGATTTCTTGAAATCCGTGTACGGGTCGTACGATTCCATGGCCATCACCATGCTCGCTGCTTCTCATTCTTCTTCCTCGGTTTTCTTGATTTTCCGTCGGGGTTGCCGTCATCGCTGCCGTGGCTACGATGGAGGAGATGGTGTTGTCGATCGAAGAACATAACAGGGGTACGGTACACATCAGCACATTGAAAAAATAAGATGAAAGTAAGAATTGACTTTAATAAAAGGTCCACATAAGCATATTACCATGTCATCAGGGTAACAGGAAACCTGTAAAAAGTTCTAGGCGAAAAAAATTTAATGGTTCGTGAACCTAAATAGCACTTATCAAAGATCAGGGTGCGGCATGAAGAATCCATTATAGTTCATGACGCGGAATGACACTTTAGCCCAAAAAAAAAAAAAAAAAACATACTTTCACAGAAATTTGTACACCCTACCAAAATTTATCTGGTAATGTGGACAATGAAGGAGTCCAATTCTTTTCGTGTTCCGCCGCCGTCCATCAACGATCTCTTGAGAGCGGCGCTTAAATCCGCCGCCTTTCTCCTCATTTCTTCTCCTTCCGGGGTATCCATTAGCAGTACGATGCACTGTTCAATTGTAGTTGATGTCACAACTTCTTGCCGATGCTCCCAATCCCTCACTAGAATTCCGATCCCGAGGAACTTGGTGATTAGCACGGAGTGTCTGGGCTGGTCGGAGTGCATCAGCCAAGCAGCCATGGGAACTCCCATTGACATACTCTCCATGCACGAATTCCAGCCGCAGTGGGTGAT